AGGTCCATTGGCAAATGAAATGTTTAGGTAAATTATATCATTGTGGTTTGGGATTTGTTTATTTAGTGATTTTTTAATTTTTTATGAAAAGATATATATAAAAGTAAAGATGTGATAAGACAACTTAATAAACAAATAAGCGCAACAAAAGTAAAGTATCACTTTAATTTTCAGTGTTTCAATTTGAATAATTATTCTCTACATTTTCAATTTTGTTGTAATGTGATCCCTTCGTCACTTACCGTTAAAATTTGAAACTGAAAAGATCATGTGTAGTTTGATTCGAATTTCACTTCAATCCTTTAGTTTTGCACGTGATATTTTTCCATTCAAAATGTTAACAACGTATGACGGACTAGGGGTGTTCATAGGCCGGTTTGGTTTAGTTTGACATTAAATTTAGAACCAACTCAACATGATTGGTTCCAAGTTGTTAGACCTAGAACCAAACTAATCATACACTAGAACCAACCCAATATAGCTCAGGTTGATTCGGATTAGAACCACGTTCTACTATATATAAATATAAGTGAATCAAATAATAATAAATAATTAAAATAAATAAAAATTGAACATAAAACAAAGAGTAAAATATTGTTTAATGCAAGCTAAAATAAATTAAATTTAACTCAAGCTTATCATAACACAAACAAATTAAATTCACTAATACAACCAATACAAATTAAATGAACTACTCATTCGTTCACCTAAATAATTTTGTATGTGAAAATTATTAGGTATAGTCAAGCCCATTGTAATAGTCTAATTAAGTGACGGACAGACCACATTACAACAAAAATGAAAGTGTAAGGATCAAATTATTCAAATTGAAACTAAGAGGACAAAAATGAAATTTCATTCAAACTAGAAGGTAATGGTGTAATTATCCAAAAAAGTTCTTTTGTTAACAAGGTATGACGGACAAACCACATTGTAACAAACGTGAAAGTATAAGAACAAATTGCTCAAATTAAACGAGGACTAAAAAATTTAATTCAAACTAAAAAGATTAATGGTTTAATTTATCCAAAAAGTCTTTTTATAGTGATATGTGTTCCAACCACACAATTATTTTTGGTTTTGTAAGAGGAGCTAATTTGAGCCCACTAAATTAATTAGGCCCAATAGTCTAAGGTTGGTGAGCCCGAATTTCGCAAGTCCAAGATTGGTGGGTCTGGATTTATCACCATCAAACAGACCGAATCGCTCTAAGTCTCGAAAGGGTTCAAATCCACAAACTTAGAGACTTACTCGGCGTCCGAACTCGAAAGGGTTTGGATTCACAAACCTAGAGATCCGAAGCACTTGGCTTCGAACGGATTCAGACGCAATCTAGAAGCCGCTCCATTAATGAGTCCCAGAACACTTGCGGGCTTGGAGCTTTCCGGGATCTACGCACCAGAACCATGGACACAATGGAGTTCAAACAAGAACTCAATCCTGAGGACGGTGAGTGGAGATAAATTCACTCTTCGGTTAAACTAGCCTATACCCGGTCGAGGTGGCACGACCCGGGGGTCCATAAGACTCGACAATATTTGCGACAAGGTGTTCTCTTGAACTACCCTGACCTTCTATGGCAGGGCTTCCTCTGGGACTACCCCTGACCCTTTGGAATGATTGGGATCATTGGTTAGTGTGGCTAAGAAGAAGGGTTTGCCGAGAGGTTGATCTCCTTTTCGGGATTTTTCTCATCCTCAGAGAGGTCACCTTCTCAGACAAGGTGTTAGAGAGAATATTCCCCATGTGCCTTGC